TCTCTCTCTCTCTCTCTCTCTCTCTCTCTCTCTCTCTCTCTCTCTCTGTCATATGATTTTGCAACATTTCATATTGATTACAACATATTGTGAAATATTGCGAAATCATATTGAAAACCAAACATTAGCGATTTTTATATCACTAGACATTTGTTCGATTTCACCTTTTTAATTCTTTTTTATTATTATTGTATCATTAATGCAAATAAAAACATGTCGAAATATATCGTGTGAACACGAAAAAAAATATGAAATGAAGAAGAATTTTTTATTCACATATTGGGGATACGCATGTACACAGCGCCGTCATGCGGTATTTATTCTGATGCAGTAATGCCAACTTTCTGTACAGAAAACTATAGATTTCCAAAAGGGTGCGCTGTTTTTTCAGAGAGCCCAATAGAGCTGCGCAACGGTCGTTCGCGTACGGAAAATGTGCATTCAAACATGTACTCAAAACAGCGTCGACGTTATCAGCTGCGCGAGTACATGTTTACACGCGCATTTTCCGTAAACGAACGACAGTGCACTGCAAAACACAAGCTTGTGTATTTTAGTGCACCATATGCCGATTAGCTATGCTGGCATAAAATATCTATCCTAGCTTAGAAATATGCTAATTAAAAGGCCGCGTTTTTGAAAAGGCACCTCGATCCAATAACGAATTGATAATAAAAGCCACGAAAATAGAGAAAGAAGGAGATAAAAGATCTGAAAGTCGTGAATAAAAATAAACTACACGTCGATCTCATTTGGTGTTTAATGAGGCTTTATTTGAAGCAAGTAAAACTTATTTTCGACCACTTAAATAAAGTCTCATTAAACACTAAATGGGATATAAGTGAAGTTTATTTTTATGCAAGATTTTCAAATATTTCATCTCCTCCTTTCTCTATCTTCGCCCCCTATTTTGCGGAACATCTGATACACAAATCAAACCTCATACGATCGAAGTTGAAGGCTATCAATAAAGCAGATAGCTTCGAAAGAAGAGCAACAAATTGGAGTATTTAAAACAAATCGATATGCGTGTCTCAAATAAAACACGCAAATTGAATTTGAGGAAATGAATCGGAAACGATAAAAAAGAAACTTTCTCAAAGATGAATAACTCAAACGAAAAATGAATTAAATATAGAAATTTTATCGAAAATTATGTTTTTCATTACAGTACAGTTCGTTTTTTTTTATTAATAAAAATGACACAATTTATATCAATTTGGACGATGTGTGTTCCGAGGCGCCAATCCATTGCTTATCTAATCGGAGATTCGATTTGTTTTCAAGCGCTTTGAGTGCCCAACATATTTTTCGCAAATAGTTGACAAAGTGTTATAAACTTAACCACTTCCTTCCTGTGTATCTCAGCCATAATATTCACATCAATTCGAACCAAATCGTGTACAAACACATTGCAGCCATGCCAACTGGCGGGATTCATTCTGATTCCATCTCGTAATCTGCGAAATTGATTTTTTTTCTCAGGTTTTTCCGATATTATTGATATGCAAATGAAAATGTTGTAACATTAAAAAAAATCTCATTTCATCTTATCTCTGGCACAAACCTTTGCTCAGCTATTCTGCAATGATGCACCTAGAAAGAAGAGAAAATTCATTTCTATTCACTCCGTAGTAAATTGGTCACAAAGCAGAGATTGCACAGACACAAGCTGACGACACTTCAGTACAAAATATCTTTTGAGTACTTGCAGCGCCACGAACTCTCGTATTGACTTTATTTACATTTTCACTGAATGAATCCAACATTTTTCAATTCTAAATTCAGGTCTTTTCCCTAAAAAAACACAATATATGATTATTCAGATCAGCACTGCGGTACTCACTTCTCGCATTTTTATTTTTCAAGTTGTTATGATCAATACACGACTTCATATGATCAACAAAGTTGGTCGCAAATATTAATTCTTCTTTCAAATGACATTTCAGTTTGAATCAACAGCTGATAAAGCCATCGATTGTCAATATTGTTGTGAAGCGCTCAGAGACATAATATCATTTTTAAATTCATACGAAGTTAAAAGAATGAAGAAAACAGAGAACAGCTTAAATGAACACTGACGAACGTATGTAATTTCCCATTGCTGGTCCATCAAACGCGTCGCCATCGCCGAAAATCTTCAAGTTGGACATCGATTGCATGGACGAAATATTCGAGTATTTGTCACTGAAAGACCTGGATTCATTTGGCCAAACATGCAAAGCGATGCACAAAGTGGCCGGTGAATATTTTAAGCAGAACTATCCATCTACTCTATTAGGAATGGAAGAATATTACCCTAAGATGTTTGTATATCTTGGAGAAGTTTTACCGTCGGCAAGAAAATTTAATCCAATGGTTAAGGAAATCTATTTGACAGGACGTATTTCAGACAGGCCTCTCCTTTATATTGCCTTAAATCCAGATGAATTCAAAGCAATCAATAGCATTACATTTAAAGACACCGTAGTAAACGAACAAATGATTCATACGCTGAACGGATTTTTTCCCAAACTTGAATCGGTGCAATTTCACGATGTTGATGTCAAAGTAAACTTATACGAAGCAATGTTGAAAAAATGCACGAATCTGAAATATCTTACAATGTGGAATTTAGCTTATCAACCAACTTCATGGATGCACCAAAAGTATCCGAAACTCGAACATTTCGGGCTGTTGCCGGTTCGTTCAATAGAAGGCTTACAGATCTTTTTGCAGAACAATCCAAACCTTCAAAGTTTTTTAGTTTCTGCAAGAGACATTTGGAAGCACAAACATGAAATTATGAATTTGCACGTGCACTTCGATTCATTGAAGATTGTCACAAGGCGATACATTTTGTCGGCGCCATTTTGTGAACTATTGAATCAACTTTATGGACAGAAATTTTACAGACGCTTGCACCTAAAAATAAGATACGATCGGAATGAGCAACTGACGACTGGCGATAGTTTTTATGCTGGTTTGGCTTCTTTTGTAGGCCTAGAGACGTTGGAAATTGAATATAGTGGATATTTGCTTCATTTTCCCGATTTGCGTGATTTGAAAGAGCTGAGAATAACAAGAGGAATTGAATCATCGGAACCCAATTTGATTCCAAAGAAATTTGCGAACCTTCAACGACTCAGCATAAAAGAAGCAACTGATGAACATATTTTGTCGATCATACAAGGACTACCGAAGCTGAAGGTGCTCAAATTTGATTATAATCGAGATGACGGACGGAACATTCTGAAATTGCGAACACTGAACACGGAGCGTCAAAAAGTGTTCGAGGCACAAAAGGTAACAATCTATGTTTCGGATGAGGTTTTCTTGAGAACAAAGTGGAGCATCGCCAACGGAGACACTAACTTACAAATGATTGAAATGAAACGAATTGCCTCGTTATCACAGGACCAATCGATTATTTTTGATTAAGGATCAAGAGATCCCAAGATTTTGTACAATGAAACAAGGAACGGTTTTTACCATTTGAAACAGATATTAAGCATTATCATTGTAATGCCATTCAATAAAGCAACAAAGAAAAAGTATAAGCAAATAGACCCATGATGAAGGGTAATCAACTCGAAACATTCATTTATTCACAAATTCTATTCGACCAATGAATCGCAAACTACAACGAAGATGATTAATAAAACCAAAATGAATTGAACATTGAAGTTTCCTTGCAAATAGCGGTTTATTTACGAAATTGACTGAACGAAATCCAAATCGTTATTTTCTTTGATAGAATAAATCAATGTGTGAGCGCAAAAGAGCAACTTGGATTCGTTGTATTTTAAAGTGTACCATCTCCATACAAAACACGTATACGCGCTCACGCATTCAAATGTGATTCGAGGCATGTGTCCATGAAGAGGAACGACTCCAAAAAAGAGAAAAGAAAAATATTTCGTGGAATCAATGAATCATCGTATTCTAGGACTGGTGATTGCAGTGTATTCTTGTCCAAATACATTGAATGAGCAATAAACACTCAGACTCACCTATATTTATAAAACTTCAAGCTTCATGCCACATCAACATTTTTATCCTTTTGTTTATGTTCTGTGCACACTGCACATTGATGATTTAGTTTCAAGGCCAGAGAGTAAAATAAGAAATTTTTTTGACTACCGAAATTTTTTGTTGAGTACCATTTTTTTCATAGTGTTTTATTAGATTTAATATTTGGTTTTTCGTACATCAAAATGTATATAAATTTCATCATTACTTGTAATGAATGTGAAATGAATTTATGAAAATCAAGACAAATCATGAATTTAGAAATTAAAAAATGCTGTTTCAATCATTATTAGTTTCATCGTCGTCATCTTCTTCATCTTTGCATGCTCGCGCTTCCGAGAAAACTCCCTTAAATACGAAACTATTGGTCAGGAAATCAGAAAGAGCAACCAAAGTGTTTGTACGGACATCAGCTACATTCATTGGCGCTCGACGCGTCCTACATCCGAATATTCCAAATTTGAGCTCAATTGATTCGAAGAAAACTTGGTCTTCATCCCCTTCACGCACCAATTTTGAAGCTAAATTCCTTTCAAAACCTCCTGGACTTTGGTTATTTTGCATGCCATTCAAAGATCTTAGCATTGAGTCGATGTGCGATTTCATTGCGATTAGTGTCAATTCATCCGATTGGAGTTGCTTCTGAAGCCGACTGAAGATGAACATAAACAAATCAAAGTCTAGAGAACTCTGTAACCGAAGAAATGTATTTTGCAGAATTGATATGATGATTCAATTCTTACTTGTTCTCCAAAATATTAAGACTGTTTGTATTTATCAGCTGGTGAATGTGTTTTGCTCTTCTTTCTCTTTCTCTCTCTTCGGATCTGATGTGAAAAATCGGTATTGTTTTTGTATTTGTCACATTCATTTGGACTACCGAATATACAATTTTTGACTACCGAAATGAAATCTTGACTACTGGTTTTGTGCTTGAATCACTCTTATTTTACCCCCTGTTCCAAGCAGTTTTACGGCTACTGGACAAGTGGATTAATTAGGGGCTGGTGTACACGAAAAGCATGTTGGAATAATTTGATGTGCTTTATTATTATCTGATATGATTTGGAATAACATTTGGCTCACACGATGTGAGTGTGTCTCATGTTCTTAATTACTTGATATTTCCTGAATGTCTCATCAATTTTGCTAATCAAAAGTAAAGTGTTTCCGCAATGAATAAGTGAATATTTGAATTTGATCGAAGCAACAGGTTGCGTTCCGAACAGCGTCAACTTCACCTCAGAACAACAACAATCTGTCAAGTCTATTGTTTACTTAATACAAAAGCATGCACTTTGTACTCAGCCGTTAGTCGTTCGTCACATGGTTTATTGGACGCTTCGGCACTTTTGGTTTTTTATTGGAGTTTCATTGAGGATCGAGTTTTGGTAAATCATCCAAACATTTATTAGTGAAATTGATTGAGTTTTGTGCATTTTTTTACTGTTAAAACACCTAACAGACGGTATAATTGAAAATGAACGATAAAGAGACGGAAGCCGGTGCATTGGAAATATCAAATTTATCCCTCGAAGTTGAAACAGACGAAAATCAATTGCCCATTGCTGGTCCATCGAATGAACAGCCACCGCCGAAGATCTTCAAGTTGGGCATCGAATGCATGGAAGAAATGTTCGAGTATTTGTCACTGGAAGATCTGGATGCATTTGCCCAAACATGCAAAGCGATGCACAAAGTGGCCGGTGAATATTTTAAACGAAACTATTCAGATGCTCAAATACTCCTCGAAGAGAGGAGTGATGAACCTAAGTTGATTGGAATTGCTGAAAAACATTCAAATTCGTCGTCAACATTCAATCAATTTGTTGATACAATCAAATTTTTATGGCCCATTTCAGAAAAGCATCTGCTCTATTTTGCCTCGCATCCCAATGAATTCGAAGCAGTCACGCGTCTTATTCTCGATTGGAGTAAATTGGACGAAAAAGTGATAGACACACTCGATGGAATTTTGTCCAAACTAGAAATTGTAACATTTGACTACGTTATTTTCAAAGTGAATTCATATGATATGTTGAAAAAGTGTACGAACTTGAAAAGTCTTCATTTTTTCGGTAAAGTGCCCGAAGCAGATACATGGATGCGTCAAAAATATCCAAAACTCGAGACCATTGGTCTCACACCGATTCCTTCGATCGATGACTTGAAAATGTTTTTCCAGAATAATCCAAATGTTCGAAACTTGGCTACTGATTCAGAAGAAATGTTGGAGCACGGAAATGAAATCATGAGTTCCAATTTGCAGTTGGATTTATTGAAGATTTCAATTGAAGAGTCCATTGGGGCAGACTTTAGTGTTCTATTGAACCAGCTTTATGAACGACAATTCTACAAACGCCTGCATGTGCTTATGACTGACGATGGTTTTTATGATGGTTTTTATGATGGTTTGGATTCACTTCGTGGTCTTGAGCTGTTGCTCATTGGCTATGGAAATCATCTGTCCGTTTTGCCCGATTTGCTCAATGTGAAAGAGCTGAAAGTAATGAATGGAAATTATTCAGTGGATC